CTGCTGCTGCTGTCGGTGGGGCTGTCACTGCCTCCGCCGAAGTCGCCCCTTCCCGAAGGAGGCGACGGGGGAACGCTGCCTCCGGTCCCCCGGAATCCCGTTGCCGGGTGCCGTCGGCGCCTCCTCGCGCACAAACGGCGTCGCTTGCCCTGGCCCACGAGCCTCCATCACGTCGAGGTCGGACTCACTCTCTGAGTCTCTCTCCCCCCCCCAACCTTGGCGTGATGCATCCGCTCTGCTCTCGCCCTCCCCGCCCTCCTCGTCATCTGCGAGAGGTAGCAGCTGCGGGGGAGCGGGCGATGCAGCGGGCACGTGGCGCCAGGTGAAATTGCGGGTGGTGATTACGGTTCCAGCTTCGGTTAGCATGCGAACGCAGTCACGGGGGTGATTGTGGGCAGGACCAAGGTACCATCCTTTTTCGCCCTTGGGTTGCGACTTCGCTTTTCTTCTCGACTTGAACACGGCTGGTTTGAGAAACGGGTATGTAGACCCGACAGGCGGTGAAGAGTCGTGGGACTTCTCGTAGGCGGATTTGTCTCCCTCGTTTGATTTAGTGGCGGTGCAGTTCAGCTGATGGCATGCACACGAAATGGCCTCGGCCCACAACCCGGGGTGGTTCGGTGCGTCGGGGAACAGTTGCGTCGCTTGGATGCGTGACGCAAGCGCGGCATCAGTGATCAACCCTTGCGCTCTCTCCGCTGCACCGTTGTATTTTGGGGTGTGAGGGGGGTGAACTCTTGTTTGATGCCGTGTCTGCGGCAAACTTCCGCACACTANGTTGCGTCGCTTGGATGCGTGACGCAAGCGCGGCATCAGTGATCAACCCTTGCGCTCTCTCCGCTGCACCGTTGTATTTTGGGGTGTGAGGGGGGTGAACTCTTGTTTGATGCCGTGTCTGCGGCAAACTTCCGCACACTACCCCTGGAACTCGCCGCCACCGTCGGTACGTGCGATATAAACCTCACACGGAACCCCTTTCGTTCGGTAGTCCGCCAGAAACTTCTCAAACCCAACCGCTGCGTCAGACTTGTGCTTCAAGAAGAAAACACGCGTCCAACGGAAGAAATCGTCTCTGATGATCAGTGTGTACCAGTTGCCACCAATGCTCCTGGTTTTCACCGATCGATTTCAGACCGGTCAGGGCGTGCTCTCTGTTCCTTGCTCTCTGTCGGAGTAGATTTGCTCAGCAGCTCGTTGATCCAACCATTCGAAATCGTCGTCTGCGTGTACACAAGCTGTCTGTTGAAAGTTGTTTCCAGGCCCTCGACACATGACTCTATTCTCAAGTGAAGCAGACCAGAAAAAAATCACAGTTCGAAAAAGCAACGGGCACCACGCGCATGCTTCTCTCCGTCGATCGAGAGTACGCGCTGCAGAGCAAATCTACTCCGACAGAGAGCAAGGAACAGAGAGCACGCCCTGACCGGTCTGGCTTCGATCGGTGGCCTAGGGAGCGAGAAATCAGTTGCGGTGTCCTCTCCTCTCTGACAGAAAGCGGCTCTTTTGCTGTCTCGTGGCGGCTTGGCCTTTTTCAGCGTCTCCCATGCTTGGTGTGATGCGATGTGTTTCTCTTACGCACGCGTGCCGAGCGACCATCAACAGCCAGCGTGAAGAATTGCAAGCCCTTCGGCGTAGGGTTGCTGGGAGCCCTTGATGGGAGCGCTACGTCAAGAACTCAGGTCGCACTCGCCGATTATGTCGTCTGGGTTGATCTACACCCACCCCCCAAGAATCTGCCTCAGGAAGCCGGCTCGCTGTAAGAACGACCGGACTTTTTTGCAGCCGGATTTTTGCCCATCCTGAAAAGTAAGGCTTCTTGGGAAAGGAATCCAGGTGTATCAGAAACCGCCTCAAAGCACGACCCATTGCACAAGTCTGCACTGTGAAGCTTGCTGCTTGCTGCTGCCTCCTTCTCGCGAGATAGCCCCCTCGACCGCGTACACTCTCATGGTTCCGGGCCTCGCAGTCCTCTCGCTCCCTCGAGCCCTCGTCCGGTGTTCGGCGCTTTGTCCAGCTGACCCGCGCCAGGGGAGGCGTGCGTCCTCCCAGTGCCTCCCCCCCGCCGCCCGCTGCGGTCGCACTTCCGGCGGGCGGTGCCCCGGGCACTAACCGGGACAAGGTGTCCATGATGCCTTCCATTTTCTCCGTCACCATCTTCTCCGGTCTGGTGCTGGCGTCGCCCACGGCGTCGTCGATGGCCGTCCTAAGCTCCTCATGAGGCGGGCCGGCCTCTCCCCCGCCAGAGTTCCCAGAGACTTTCGCAGACATGTTGTGTGTCTCCCGCACTACTAGACGATGGCGCCACAAAAAAACTCTAGTGTTGATTGGCCCCAAGCCGAGTGCTGCTGGATACGCACGGCTGTCCCGGTTGACAATGTGAAGAGATGGTAATGACGTTACTGATCCCTGTCGGAGGCAGAGGCCGGTACTCTTGCAGTATTCTCCCACTGCCAAGGGTGGCTATTTCCTTTCGTGAGATGTAACGAGGAAAGGAAGGTAGAAAAAGAGTGACCAGAGGGTCGAGAGAGGGGAGCCGGAGGCTCCCCATCTCTTCCCTTCGCAATCGACCATGGACTTCGGAAGAGACAAATCTCCTCGGTGCTTTACTTGCCACTTCTCCCGATCGCAAGTTACCCCGAGGAATCATATCTTCCTACACTTTGTATGTGCACAAATGGTTGGTTATATATTCCGACAGGTGTCCTCCACATCGCCCCCCCCTCTATGCGCCACAAGTCCATCTGTGCTTAAGATGTGTTTTTGGCGTCCAGAGACATGAGTGGCTCATGGAGACGCATGTATCGGAAATAACCTAGACTATCCATTGTACAACAACACCATCGACCATGTCTGATTTATCATACAACGCGTGTTGAGCAACACGGAGTCCTCAGATGGGACGATGAATGTGGTCCATACTCATATAGTCTAGAAAACAAAACTGGTGGGTACTGGGCTATCATAATGACAGTTAGGGTACTAGATCACTTTCCCATGGTCATGATCGCGTGGCATGCCATGTGTGGGGTAGACTTGTAATAAGTAAGGTGAATCTCTGGCAAGTCCGCCTTTTCATCATAAATAAGATACTTCCTCTGTATCATAAGTTAGGGTACCTAAATGCAATAGATTGTCTGGGTGCAACCGTGTTAGTGATGGTAGCATAGTCGGGTTTGTACGAAAGATATAACAAAGACGAAGCGATAGAAAAAAAGAAAAAAAAAACGAACATCTATTTCTGTACCTAATATTGGTCAAAATATACCCTATTTTGGCCTGGTTTGGGAATATTTTTGGGAAAATATTTGAGATTTTTTTTGAGAATTCTCGACAAAATTCTCAAAACCATCTAATATTAGTACCCTACCGGCCCACTACTCACTCTAGCGATGGAATCGCCCCCCAGCACACCACCTCGCAAAAGGGGCACCGAATTATCGGTTGGTAGGCGCTATGCCATGGCGGTAGGAATTGTCGACTTTTTCTATTTTTTCCCCGCCACCAACCAACCCTTCTTTTTGTCCCGCAAGTGTCTTGATTTTAGTGTGCCCCCCCAAGTGTCTTGGTTTTAGTGTGGTTCACTACTATACTGCTTTTAGTATAGGGGGCGCGACATGGATCGTTGAGTAGAGGGGGGGGTTGGATGAGGGCCCTACTGTTGCGTGCTTTGCCCCGCAAGTGTCTTGTTTTTAGTGTGGTCACTCCAAGTGTCTTGTTTTCAGTGTGGGGCCACTATTATGCTGTTTTTAGTACGGGGGACGCATCATGGATCGTTGAGTAGAGGGGGGGCTAGGTCTAGGGTCAGGGATAATTCTTGGTATTTTTACCTTGTTTTTGTCATTGCCCCGCCCCCCCCGCCTGGTCGGAGGGGGCAGGATACATGCAAAATACGGCCTCTTTCAGGCTGACTGGTTTTTTCTCGGCCGCTCATGCACGCGGGGTGGCGCATGCATAAAAAAAAAAAAATGTTTCTTGCTCAAAAAACTCCGAAGATTTCAACAAAAAAATCGGAAAACAGATCGGACACGGTTAAGGACCCGTACAAATTTAGGTACCCTAACTTATGATACAGAAGAAGTATTAGGATAGCGGTGGCTTACAATTAATTATCCTCGCCAGTATTTCCCCAAACACTGATAAAATAGGTTGTCTCCAATAGACACAACCTACCACCGTGGCTACTGGTCCTGTGTTGAGAGATAAACACAGAATAGTAGTAGTAGAAAAGATGTCCCAAGTCTAAAAATAGAAATGGTGTAACTGCTGGAAATGATTGAAATGCATCAATCATTCAATTGTCGGGCCCTAGTTCGTTTTCGTCTGCTAGAACGACAGGGCAATGAAGCCTCACCTAGGGTCGTAGCATAACGCAACCGGGGTAGACGACATGTCCTTTGAACACTTCTCCGTCGTTTGTTGGTGTTGCTGGGTGGCTCAGAGTCACTTTGCGCAGCCAATTTTCGAGGTGAAGATCCATCCATGCGGATTAATCGCCTGTCTCCGTTTTCGTTTCTTGGTTTTACTGGGTAATTTTTTATCTCCCTGTTCAACTGGGGCACGAGGCGCAGATTTTTCAGGCAGCGCGATGTCCAAACCACAACGGATTCGGTAGGCAGCTATCATTTCTTGACGTGGAGTTTCGTCTGCTCTATACATACATACATATGATCCGACTCAGGACCGTGTCCACGAAGACGCAAACGATACTTACTTGTAGTTATGCGGGGTTTTCTGCCCTTACCACTCTTATGACTTACCACTTTGTCCACGATGTAGGACTCAATTAACAGGGTTTTCGCCTGATT